GCCGGCAGCCCACCGAGCCTCCCTGAGTTTAAGCCACCGGGCCTGGAACTCGAACAGCAGTCGGCTACATGGGAGTTCAGCAGCATAGCCATTACGCTAACTGCTGGTCCCAATAAAATAATTCTTAACAAAAAAAAAAAATGATAAAGTTCATGAAGGATACAGACTTCAAATTCAGACAAACGAGGTCTGACTCCAGATTCTAAAACACAGCAGCAGTGTGACCTTCAACAAGTGATTCGCCTTCTCTGAGCTTTAGCCCCCTCGTGGAATTACAGTATTATCTGCCTTATTAATTTTTCAGATTACTGAAAAATTAAGTTAACTAGAACTAAGTTTGATCACAACTTATCACTGCATCCCTTGGAACAAGACATAGTTCTGGCCTTTATAATTTTTTTTAAGAGAGATTTTTGCTATAGGGCATGTGTGCTCCCCAGAGAGACAGAGACAAAGTAAGAAATCCCCCAGGGGGGTTGCCACACTGCAGTCTCTTCTCCTCCATTCTCCTCTTGGGATTTGGGGCACACACACCCGGTGTGAGTTTTAAGCCGCCAGGTCTGGGACTCAAACCCTGGTCAACTACATGGGAGTCTAGTGACATAGCTATTATGCCATCTGCTGGTCCCCTTTCTAATTTTTTTTTAATCTATGAGCTTAGACTGTGCCTTCTGGCAAAATAGAGCTGCCACTATTAATGACTGCTATTATTACTATTTGAACTATCCTCAGCCTAAGAGATTTGCTTGTGTTTCTCTAAAAAACACAGTCCCCTTTAAGCCTTCTAGGGCTAGTTCCACTGGATTTGGCGTCCTCAGAAAGTTGATTGGTCCTCAGGACCAGCAGTTGATGTAATGGTATGTCGCTGGACTCCCACATCGTCAACCACAGTTCAAGTCCTGGACCCAGTGGCTTAAACTCACGCTGGGTGCATGTCTGTGCGTACCCAAGATCCCGAGAGGAGAATAGAGGAAAAGGGGTTACGGCATGGCCATCCTCTCTGGGGGATGATTTCTCACTTTCTGTCTGTCTGTCTGTCTTTCTGGTTAGCACACATGCCCTAAAAAAAAAAAAAAAAAAACGTTGACTGTGCCTCTTTAAACATTTATCTTATACAGACCAGGGAAACTTGGCTGGAGTTTGGCCTGCTAAGGACATCGACCTTCTGTAATAATTAAATGGGTCTCAACTAAGACCGTTGAGAGTAAGGGCCCTGGGTCACAGAGCCCTGAAAACTGGCCCTGGGCTGCAGGCCCAAGAGAGGTGACTGGGGAGTGACATCCCCAAGGGAAGGGGCCGTAGCCCGAGCTGCCCCAGTCGCGGAGCACAGGCCTGGGCTGGGCGGCTGGCTGGTTTCTGTCTGCCAGACCTCTGAACTCTGAACGCGGCTCCTCGGGCTCCTGGGGAGATGCTGTCTGAGCAGGGGGCTTCCTCCCGCCTCCCTCCACCTCCTTGCCCTCTCCTCAGCCCTCAACCAAGGCCTGGCGCTCCAGTTCCGGCTGGGCTCCACCGCCACACTGCCAAAGGTGCCCACAGTAGCCGGTTGGCAAAACAGCAGAGCAGGCTGTGGAGACGGCAGAAGATGGGCTTGGGAGAGGGAGCGCCCGGGGTGACCCTCACCCCAGATTTCAGTCAGTGTTCAGTATATGCCAGCGGGTCACAGGGCTGGGGCGTGCACAGTGTGGTGCCTGACGGATCACTCACACAAATGCCCACGGGCCAGGGAAGATTCAGCCGCGAGGGAAACGGCCCCAGAGAACTGGAAGGCGCCACCGTGCCCCGGTGGGTGTTCCCCACTCACTTCCAGGAGACCAATCTCCATTTCACATGAAGATGGGATTTCAGGTCATGAGCTTAGCGGCTGTGTGCCTTTACGGGCGTTCCTTAACCTCTCTGAGCTTGTTTTCTACTGTAGTTAGCATCAGAAGATAAACACAGCTCTCCTGGGCTCTAACGACAGCAATAGTGATATGGGTGCTGGCTTCGTTCTGCTGAGTTCTCGGCTCATTCAGTCCCTGTGTGACCTTGGATGGAACCCTTGGTCTCTGGTCCTGATTCTCTCAATGTCAAAGGACAGGGTGAATTCACCAGTGACTTCGAAGGGTCCTTGGGGCCCTGTGACATCCGACAGTATTTATTTCAGGCCTACTGTGTGTCCGACCCTGGAGCTTCAACAGGACAGCAAGGTGGAAAAGTGTCCTCATAGAAAGACCAGCCCAGAGTGAGCACTAAGGTGACACAGTGGGGCACCAGGTGCGTTCCCCTGGAGCTTACAGCCTAACGAAGTAACACCTCTGGAAGAATTACGCGGTCTAATTGCTGCATTTCCTCCTTCTTTAGGTTTTTGCCGTAAGGTGTATGCACTTGCTGGAGAAAGGGCAGAGAGAAGGAAAATGAGACCTTGCCCCAGGGGGATGGCCACACTGCAATCCCCCATCTCGTTCTCCTCTCAGGATTTTGGGCACGTACACACACTCGCCTGGCATGGTTTTCAAGCTACTAGGTCCAGGGCTCGAACCGTGGTCCGCCATGTGTGAGGCCAGTGCCTTAATCACCACGCCACTGCGCTTCCCCTTTCACCACCTTCCTGGCAGGTGAAATGTTCACTGTTGACTTTGTGGTCCTTGAGCGCTCAGCACAGGCCCTTGAAGACAACTCCATTGCCTGAGAGGCACAGTCTAACCTCCAGGGAAGCCAGCACCGTCTGCTCTCCGCTCGGCTGTCAGAGGGGAGCCCTGCTCCGGGCCCACATGGGAAGGCTGGCCTGGAACGTCACTGAGGGGTGACCCAGGGCAGGGCGAAGCATTTGCAGTGGCTCCCATCTGCCAGCACTCTCTCACACCTCACCTGTCCCTCTGCAGTTAAAGGTGTCAGAGCCCTGGAGGCAGGATGGCAGGACAGGCCTGTCTGACTCCCAGCACCCAGCAGGGGCCGCACATGGTACAAGCCAAGTGTTACCCCTGGCAGCCCTACCAGTCTCTCAGCAACTGGGTCACTTCCCTCCATGCAAACCAATTCTCAGCGAGGCACGAGGTGTTCTAAAAAGTCCCTCCATGTTTCCCCAAACGGAACAGAAACTGCTTTCCTGTGTGTGTGACTGTCATCCCGGCCTTCATTTGTACTGAAAACAGAATCAGGGTGTAAAGAATTCTTAAAGGAGCGCTTCCCTGGAGCTCAGGCTCACAATGCATGGCAGGCAGGCTCGCAGGCTCCGAGGCCGGGTGGGCTAACTAGCCACCCAGCACAGGGCACAAGGGGACGAGTGTCACTGCTGACCAGCAAGGGTGCTCTGGGGGAAGCGAGCTAGACGGGTAGCCTCTTGCCAAGGGGACTCAGAGGTGGCAAAGGCCTTGTGAGGCTGGGCTCCCACCCGCAGGAGCTCCAACATGGGGTCCTGGCCCGTCCACCCAGGTGCAGCAGGCTCTGGGAATCCCTGAGACTTTCCCACCTCCAAGGCCTCAGCCTGAACCCGCCCCAGGGAACCCTTGTGGGCAACTGCTGTGGTGGCAGGAGGTCCCCCTCTCCCTTCCCCTCCCAGGACGGGGGAACCCCCAAACTCTCCAGACACCAGGGCAGGCTTGGGCTTCTAAAGCCGGAGTCCCACTCGGCCCCCAGCAGTGCTGTTCCCACTGTCCTCGCCCCCAAGCCCCCTCCCATCACCCCGTTCTGGCGCCCACACCCCTGTGCCCCCAGTCCCACCTGGATTCCTCCTCCGGAA